AAAATACATAACTTTTAAAATACACGGTGGATTTACACGAATGGACGTTCGGTAGTTAGCTGGGGTCTGGGCGCATCATTCGTGAGATTGCCGCTCAGATCCCAGCCTAAAATAACCGAACGCCGCACAGAAAACACATTTCTTTCCAAACACACGAAAAGAACCGATTACTTTTAGTGAACCTGGTTCTGAAACTCCCGAACGTCCTGGAGGCTCAGCGGTGTTCGTGCCGTCGAATAGCTATTGGTAATGCTATGCGTTCGACAACACGGACCCGCTGAGGAACAAAGGATCCAAGATGGCCGACCGCCGCATGGTCGGTAGTCGAACGACGGCCACCCAGGAGAGCCTCTAATTACCGATTGCAACAATGTTAACTAGCGCCACACGCCTCTAAGTGTGTGGGCTATTAGGGGGTGTCGCGTTCGTTTCACGAACGGCCCTCCAAAGTGCCGTTCGTGAAACGAACGAGAATCCCCATACAAACCGCCATTGGCATTCGGCGAAACCAGTAATTACAGTCTCCACAGCAATACATCCAGCACATACATAGGAATACAACGCATCTCTCTCCAGACCTGTAGGCAACCCTTAAAGGCACAGTCTCTAGTTATTGTCCAAGTGGCTAGGTTTGCCAAATATCTTTTCAACTAAACAAATCCTTGAATGCCAAACAAATGTAAATTTGTACACAAACAAACAAACCAGGTCAAGTAACCAGCAATAAAAACCTGGCGAACAGGTTTAGTGAAAAGTCTTTTCCTATGCAAATGGTACTAGGCCTCAAGCAATTCACACCATGTGGTCAATGGTGGATTGAAACCCACATGGTCAGAGAAAAAGTAAAATTGTTTTTTTGTTTTATATATAAAAATGACCAAAGGTTGGTAAAACGTAACAAGCAACACAATAATTCATCACTATGTTCTACAACAAGAGATACCTTAAAAACAAATATATAATCCCTATCTGCTATCTGCATTCATTCCATTAAAACCAAATCATCATTCATTTATTCATTTGTATACAGACAGACAATTTACAGTATGATTTAAGCAAAATGCATAACATTTATATTTTCCCCAATATTCAAGCATAATCCTGCCAACTACACCATATGTTGTGGTCGTGACCTAAATATGAATATTAATCTCTTAATACATAATAATTAAGCAATACGGAACAACATTAATATTTTTATGATTCATGGTATTATGGTCGAATATGTGGATAGAAAATACACAAAACGTTGTAATATTAATATAACTATAATAAATAAACAGATGCTAGCGGAATGTCAATTTACCACAATAATTATACAATACAATACTAAATGTATATTTAATATAACTATAATAAATAAACAGATGCTAGCGGAATGTCAATTTACCACAATAATGATACAATACAATACTACACAAAACGCTATTGGTTGCTAAATATTATACAAAAGGCTATTACAATTGCTAACTGTTACAATGGATTCATATTACTTACAAGGCCCCAGCCAAAGGGCTGGGGCTAAGTCAGAGCTGGTACTACATGATCAGTCAGGTACAGGCAAAAAGAGAGACAGAGTTTCTCCTACATCTGGTTTTTATTCAGTGTAAGTAGGCTGGCCTGTGATGTCACTGCCAGAAGCACATGTCTTCCTACACACTCCCCCTAGTGGTGCCCCCAAAGCATTACACTAAATATGCTTTCTTTATGATGTAAAGTCATTAATTAATAAATACCATTACAGGCGGAGTAAGCGTTGATCATGATATTTACTTAATTCGGTTGTGGTGTGCCGAAACCGATGTACGGGCAGGCCTGTAAATAAAGAGGCCAAAAAGGTATAAGCAAAACATCTTTAATACATATGCATTGTTTACAAGACCCGTGTTTACATGTGGCTTCATATTTGGCTAAGTCCTTGAATGCTTGTCTAAGTTCTTGTTCCGGTTGGGGTATATACCGGTTGTATGCAGATGACTCCCCTCGTCCTAGTCTTTTGATGATGTGTACTGGGACATTCTGACTAGATGCAGCCGTTGCTGTGCCTATGTGGAATGAATGACCGGTGAAAGCCGATGGGTCGCACCCTATTTTTGTAAAGAGAGTTTGTGAGTTTGTGAATTTGGATGTTGTTAGAGGTAACCCTCTAATGTGTAGGCTTAGTAGGTGGGCATTTTTGTCTTGACCTCTTAAGTTCGGACAAAGCTGGTCAAATAACTGTACTGGGCACCACTTGTTGCCTGTGGGGTATATGGGTATGTTGACGGGCGCCCTGTTTGATTTGTTTTGGATTGCTGAAGTGTCAGGACATAGTGGTCCCCTATTTTGTTTAGGTCAGCCTTTTTTTAGCATTTTGTTGGTGTCATTGGTCTTTTCTACGGTAAATTCGTTTGGTCGTAAGAACCCATAGAAGGCCAGATAAGTAGCGATTTTTTTCGTCTGTGGGTTGTCGTTTTGCGGGTTAGTGATCTTCTAATCGTACGATACCTTTTAGGATGTTTTTTATGGGGTTTAAAGACATGAAGGTACTGTGGCTAGGGTATGTATTTATGACATGGTATTATATACCTGTAAGATATAGCTTTATCGTATTGTGTGCTAGTTTTAGATGCAAGTGGCAAAAAGATGTAAATGCCACCATGGTATCTTATGACAGCGGGTTTGTGATCTTGTATTCTGTAATGAACCTGATGAATATGGTTAAGGCTTGATTGTACGAGCGTCTGGTGTTTGCTGAGAGTGCTGATTGTGCCAGCATTCTCCCCTGTGCCATGAGTATAGTTAGTCCAGGATGAGTTCCTGGAATAGAGGTGGTCTGTATGGGGTTTTCATGGCTGTGGGATGTTCTTGATGGAACACCTGTAAGTTAGAACGAGAGATGGCATCAGCTGCTGTGTTGTGGTGGCCCGGTATGTGTTCGCACGTAAAGTGGAAGTGCTGTGTGGCTGCCAACCATACTAGTCTTCTGACTAACCTCATGATGGTTAGTGTTGAGGACCTGCCCTTGTTAATTATGTCGCATGTTGCTGCATTATCTGTGTAGAACTTTACTGCTTGTCCCTTCCAAAGGTGTCCCCATACTCGGGCTGCTGCCACTATTGGGTAAACCTTGAAAAGGGCAGAGGTGGTGATAAATGATGGTAAAGTAGCTGTGTCTATTGGCAATGTGTCTCTGAACCATTTGTTACCAAAAATTGCTGCATAACTTGAGTGGGCTGCTGCGTCTGTCCATGTTACTGGAGAATTCTCTGTCAATGAACATGTTGGTGCCGTTCCATTGAGTCAAAAATTGACTCCACGTAGACAAATCTTCCCTGGCTTGTTCGTCCAGTGTGACTACACTTGACCACACTCCAGTGTGACTAATCGTTTGGTAGTTTAGGTAAGAGACTGAGTAGTCTGGATTTAAATGCTTGTCCTTGTGGGATAATTCTCATGGTAAACTTCAGAGAACCTAGGAGAGATTGTAGGTCTTTCTGATTCGCAGTACCTCTGTTGAGGAACAACTCTATCTCTGTCCTGATTCTCTGAACTTTGTCTGTGGGGAGACTTGCCTGCATGGTGACTGACAATTTAGTGATGGGTCCTACAGTTTTGTCCATGGCTACCGGTACCCCTAACGTTGAAAAGAGTGCTATGGTTTTTGCTATGCTTAGTGGTGTGGATTCTGGGTTTTCTATGGTCATAAAGTCGTCTAGGTAGTGAATTACGACTGGACAGCCACATACATTCAATAATAGCCAGCACAGCGTTTCCGCAAATAAGTCAACTAACTTTGGGTTGCTCTTTGCCCCAAAAGTTAGTTGTTTATCAAAATAGTAGAGGCCTTTCCATTTTATTCTGTGCAGATACCACAGTGACGGGTGTATTAAGAGTAGGTGTAAGGTGTTGGAAATGTCTGTTTTCCCCAACCAAGCTGCCTCCCCTGCCTCCAAAATTGCCTGCATGGCATTGTCTACTGTGGCATACTGCAGGGAAAATCCTCTGACGGTATGAGTGAGTTAAGGCTTGGAGTGACAACAGAATGAGGAGCCGAAAGGTCTATAATTAATTGTTTTTTTATTATTGTATTTGCCGGTTGTGATACCTATCGGGTTAGTTCGCCAACATGTGAATGGTGGTGTTTGGAATGGCCCGATCATGAAGCCTTTCCCCACTTCTGTGCTTAGGAGTGTATCTACTGTAGTAGGGTCTATAGTTGCTGACTGTAAGTTATTACATTTGATGGTTCCTATCAGTAGAGCAATTAACCCTGTGTGGAACCCTTCAGTGAAACCCGTGATAAGGAATTTGACTAGGTCTTGAGATGGGTGTGCGGTGATACAATCCGAACGCTACTACAAAGTCTGGTATTGACAATTTTTTGTTAAGTCTAGGGTTTTTAGCTTTATGCACGACTGACAGATCACCGTAATTGTATGTCTTATTCTCGACTATGTCTTGGGATGCTATCAGTAGAGACATGAGATTTACATCCTTGCTGTGCCATGAAACGATGGCAGGGTGTAGGCCTCTGGAAAGCATAAGAAGACTCTGGGTAGGGAAAGTGACATCCTGACTACTCCACTTCTGGAGTGTGCAAGACTGTAGCTATGATTTGGGTCAATGGGTGTAACGGATCACCTGGCACCCCGACTGGGTACCTCCATTGAAGGATGCTCCTAGCACTTCCTGAGGACTCCAAGCACTGCAGCAGACACCAAAACCACCGAACCATAGGAGCATGTGAATGCTCTCAAGCATGTGAATGTTGCATACAGCTGAATAGGAAAAACCATGCGAATAGGTTTACACTCCTAGCAGTCAAACTGGAACAGCATACAATGAATCCTCCCCCAATAATGAGACGACACTTCACTTTGAGGGTTAAGCAGGAACTGACTGGACTGGCATATACAGCCTCTTTTATTTCCAATCCACAAACTTAGTACTGCCCACAGGGTTTTACAGAACAACCAATAACACATACAATACACTCAGACACTCCCACACAAAATCCTCCCCCTGCCTGTGATACAATTACCTTACACAATGGGTAATCTAATTATCACAGACAGAGAAATACAGTTTCATAAAACACATCACAGGGACCCCAAAACATGCAATAACCCCATAAAAAGAACACATACAGGCTAAATGAAAAACAATCACTGTATAATGTATAATGTGTCCCCTGCTTTATAGTCCAAAACCACTGCACAATGTCTCTGTGCACCAAATACTGGCGAGATGGCACCGTGTTGAAAAGTCCAAACAGCATCTGTGAGTTAAAATGGCCACCATCCATTGTTCTCACCATGTGCCTCTGATACAGGAAATGGTGGGCACCCAGTAACTCCACAGTATGTCCCCAGATGGTTCTTAAAGGGCCAGCAGCAGCACAACACAAATCCATTATGCCCAAATCATGTCTTTAAAGGGCAATACATCCCAGGGGCCATAGTCACATGGCAGGAGGCTGGCAATCAGTCTTCTCCAATGCCCAGTGGCGAGGTCGGTTTCACCACAATGGGCAAAAATACCTCTGTGTGAGGATGGATGTTGGTCACGCGGTGATTCCAAATTATGAACCTGAGTTTGGGATTGTACTGGTACCCTACCTACCAGTTAACCGTGCATGGACAGAAGTTACGACAGGACGTGCCTACCTGAGATTTTTTGAGGGGTCTTATTTCTTGACGGAGTATCTGGTTGGGTGATATTAATCGCCTGTTGAAACCAAAATTGTGGTTGGTATTTTTATTTTTTATAACCATTTGGTTTGTTAAAGGTGGTATCTACCTGTGTATCTAGATCCTTTCCTGAGGGGTAGTAATATTGGTGGTATAGTTTTTGAACCTGGCGGATTGAGGGATTGAAGTGAGAATTAAATATTTAATTTGTGTAATATTGGCGTGCTTATGTAACCTATCTACTATGTGATCTTATGAGTTCTATGAGATGGTTGTTACATTTGACATAAATGACTTAGTAGACTTGTACGTTAGTGGTCATCACCGGTATGCATTGAATGTGACTTACGGATTTGATTGTTGAACCGAACGCGTATGTTTAATGCTAGCGTACCCGTCTGGGTGGGTATTGTAAAGTTGATAGCAGTTCTAACTGGAATGAAATCATATAGAGATATTCTTGAATTCATTACCGTGTTAACCAAGTGGTTTTATGCTGATGTTAGCCCCCATGCGATGTCTAGTTTGAAATACAATTTTATGCTGGGTTGGTGCTTATTGGAATAACTTATGTGTGGTTCCGTACCCCCTCCTGTGCCCTTGTTTGGGAACACACAATTTTTTTTAACGTACCGTGTTTACTGAAATTAGTATCAAAAGTGACTGGTAAGCCAGAGAGTACAAATCAGAAATCTGGAAGGACACAGGTGACATATGCAACGTATGTGGGTATTCATGAGAGAATTCAGACTGAAAGAACAAATAGAATGTTCCCGCCAAAATTGCGTGGGGGGTAATGCCTGTATTGCTGTTCGTACGTGCGTGCCCCCGTTCGGTAGTTTTGGCGGTTCCCTGGTCCTCATGGATTACCAAGTGTTTAGGAGTCGAAATAAAAGTGCATTCATATTGATTTTCCGTTCGTATGAGTTTTTTGTTCATATGAGCTTTTTGTTTGTCCGTGTGCGGTTCATGTGGTAGAGCGTTTCGTGTGTTTTAATTTTTACTCACTGTTTCCCGGTGCTCGTCAGCTGACCCGGAAGTTCGTCAAGTTGTACCGGGAACTTAGCGGTATTGTGTGTGGCCGTGCCTGAGCGGTTGAAGACTGGCGACAGCGTTTTGTTGATCGAGATCCCGCTGGATGCCTGATAAGTGTCCTGGCTTGTGACAGGGCCTGGAAACCACAAGGGCGACTCTCCTGGCCAAACCCTGAACCGGAAGTGACCAATCAACATCAGCCCAGTATGGAGGTAATATAGGCCGGATCCTCCCCTGCTCCGACTTCATTTATATAAAAATATATATATATATATATATATGTGTATATATATATATATATATATATCCAAAAAAATGGAATGCACTCCAGGGTCTTTGTAAAGTAAAATTTTACTGTTAATTCATATACAAAATAAAAAAATAAACATCAACGATTTCGGCTTTACAAAGACCCTGGAGTGCATTCCGTTTTTTGGATACCTATGATTTTTTGCTGGAATCACAGTCATATACCTCCAGTATACCTGGGGTGCAAGCACCTTGGATTTATATACACACGTATTATATATGTATGTCTGTATGTATATATATATATATATATATATATATATATATACACACACACACACACATACATACAGACATACACATATAATACGTGTGTATATAATTTGTGTGTGTGTGTTTATTGCCTATATATGTGTAACAGCACCCCCAGGCATAACAGGGTTAAACCGCCGTTTAGTAGATCTTCCCTTCCAGAGACACAGGCACAGCTACTGCAGAACCCCAAACTCCCGAACAGGATACCAAGTAGCACTCCAAACTCCCGAACTGGAACCTCACGAATAGCTGCTAGCAGCTGAACAGGAAAAGCACCCAAGCGGCTTACATTCCTGGCAATCAGTCTCTAACAGCATACAGTAAATCCCCCCAAGAACGAGACAAAGCTCCGTGTTGAGGGTCAAGCAGTGAACAGACCAAGCTGTGGGTTTATTGTCCTTATATACACATTAGTACCACCCACAGGGTTTTGGAACACAACCAATAAACACATACAATACACTCAGACACTCCCACACAAAATCCTCCCCTCTGTCTGTGATTCAATTACCTTACACAATGGGTAATGTAATTATAACAAGCAGAGAAATACAATTTTTCCACATTATTCATAACTTGAAAAGTATGCATCACATTCACATATAACGTACATTTTCAGAATCAGCCTACTCCAAATACAAACATACGTCAAATTCATACAAATTGGTCCATAGAAACATAGAAACATAGAATGTGACGGCAGATAAGAACCATTCGGCCCATCTAGTCTGCCCAATTTTCTAAATACTTTCATTAGTCCCTAGTCTTATCTTATAGTTAGGATAGCCTTATGCCTATCCCACGCATGCTTAAACTCCTTTACTGTGTTAACCTCTACCACTTCAGCTGGAAGGCTATTCCATGCATCCACTACCCTCTCAGTAAAGTAATACTTCCTGATATTATTTTTAAACCTATGTCCCTCTAATTTAAGACTATGTCCTCTTGTTGTGGTAGTTTTTCTTCTTTTAAATATAGTCTCCTCCTTTACTGTGTTGATTCCCTTTATATATTTAAATGTTTCTATCATATCCCCCCTGTCTCGTCTTTCCTCCAAGCTATACATGTTAAGATCCTTTAACCTTTCCTGGTAAGTTTTATCCCGCAATCCATGAACCAGTTTAGTAGCCCTTCTCTGAACCCTCTCTAAGGCATCAATATCCTTCTGAAGATACGGTCTCCAGTACTGTGTACAATACTCCAAGTGAGGTCTCACCAGTGTTCTGTACAATGGCATGAGCACTTCCCTCTTTCTACTGCTAATACCTCTCCCTATACAACCAAGCATTCTGCTAGCATTTCCTGCTGCTCTATTACATTGTCTGCCTACCTTTAAGTCATCAGAAATAATCACCCCTAAATCCCTTTCCTCATATGTTGAGGTTAGGACTCTATCAAATATTCTGTACTCTGCCCTTGGGTTTTTACGTCCAAGATGCATTATCTTGCACTTATCCACATTAAATGTCAGTTGCCACAATTCTGACCATTTTTCTAGTTTACCTAAATCATTTGTCATTTGGCTTATCCCTCCTGGAACATCAACCCTGTTACATATCTTAGTATCATCAGCAAAAAGACATACCTTACCATCAAGACCTTCTGCAATATCACTAATAAAAATATTAAAGAGAATGGGTCCAAGTACAGATCCCTGAGGTACCCCACTGGTGACAAGTCCAAGCTTCGAATATATTCCATTAACTACAACCCTCTGTTGCCTGTTACTCAGCCACTGCCTTACCCATTCAACAATATTTGAATCCAAACTTAAAGATTGCAGTTTATTGATAAGCCTTCTATGTGCAACAGTGTCAAAAGCCTTACTGAAATCTAGGTAAGCAAACTGCACCACCCTGATCTATAATTTTAGTTACCCAATCAAAAAAATCAATAAGATTAGTTTGGCATGATCTCCCTGAAGTAAACCCATGTTGTCTCTGATCTTGAAATCCATGTGTTTTAGATGTTCAACAATCCTATCCTTTAACATGGTTTCCATCACTTTCCCCACTACTGAAGTAAGGCTTACTGGCCTATAGTTGCCTGACTCCTCCCTATTACCTTTCTTGTAAATGGGCACAACATTCGCTAACTTCCAATCTTCTGGGACTACTCCTGTTAACAATGATTGGTTAAATAAATCTGTTAATGGTTTTGCTAGTACACCACTAAGCTCTTTTAATAGCTTTGGGTGTATTCCATCAGGTCCCATTGACTTATTTGTCTTTACTTTTGACAGTTGAAATAGAACCTCTTCCTCTGTAAACTCACGTGTAATAAATGACTCATTTATCCTTTTTCTCAACTGAGGTCCCTTTCCTTCATTTTCTTCTGTAAATACAGAACAAAAATATTCATTGAGGCAGTCAGCTGACCTTTATCCTCTTCTACATACCTTCCTTCTTTTGTTTTTAATCTAACTAATCCTTGTTTTACTTTTCTTTTCTCATTTATGTATCTAAAAAATGTTTTATCCCCTTTTTTACTGACTGTGCTATTTTCTCTTCTGTGTGTGATTTGGAAGCTCTTATAACTTGCTTAGCCTCTTTCTGCCTAATCTTATAGATCATTTTGTCTCCCTCACTCTGGGTTTTTTTATAATTCCTAAATGCTAACTTTTTGTTTTTAACTATTTTGGCCACATCTGCGGAGTACCACAGTGGTTTCTTGAATTTTTTGCTTTTACTGACAAGCCTAATGCAATTTGCTGTTGCCTTCAATAGTGCAACTTTTAAATAATCCCATTTTTCTTGGACTCCATTGAAATTGGTCCAATGGTTCAAAAGATAGATCGTAGTCCTTTGTGACCAAAGGAAGCATGGCTTTTCTGCCCAAAACCAGTTCCACAGAGTCTTCTATCCTGGACATAATTGGGAAGTAATCCAATTATCTCCGAAGACAGAAGCAAAACTCCATTGAACACATGGCAGCAAAAGACAATAAAACACATAAAAAAATATAACTGTGCAGCCATTGCACAAAACAGGTACATTCAACATATCCCCAGATAGCTCAGATCAGAGCGCACATTATTACTGAATGGCGCTCAGAGCACACACATACAGTTCAATTGCCATGGAGCCTTCCGAACCATGAGACACACAAACTAGACCACCTCAACATAACCTTTTTTAGAGTTTATAGGAGCAGTGTGAAATTGTGGGAATATAGTTAGGTGAGGTCCGCTGTTAGCCAGATACCTAAGTATTTTAGTTCGGTCTCGCACCAGGTAAATGCGAACTGTGTTCACAGATGGGAGGTCGCTTCAGCCCTTGTGGAGATGATTAGCGCTTCCGACTTGTCTGTATTGAGCTTCAGGTTCAATATACGTCCGTAGTCCTTGAAAGCTTTTAGCAGATTCGGCAGGGAGACCAGGTGGTTGCTGATAAAAAATAGCATGTCATCAGCGTACGCAGCGATCTTATTGGTGGCTCCTTTGAGGATGAACCCCGATATACCCCTGTCCCGTCTGACCGCCTCCAGGCAGGGTTCCCGGGAGAGGGCAAACATAAGGGGGGAGAGCAGGCATCCCTGCCTCGTGCCATTTTGGATTTGAGCTCCATTTATCCGGATCCTGGCGCTTGGAATCGTGTACAGTGACGACACCCATGCCATGAGGCACAGACCAAACTCCATCGCCTTCAGGGTTGCTTTCATATACTGCCAATCCACACGGTCAAAGGCTTTCTCCGTGTCTGTAGAGAGGAGGAGGGTTTGTTGTTTCAGTCGTCCGGCCGCGTGGATTATGTTCAGTGCCCTGGTGGTATTGTCCCATGCCTCCCTTGCGGGGATGAAACCTACCTGATCCGGCTCTACAAGGTCTGGGAGGACTCCGCTTAGGCGCATCGCCAGGATTTTTTTAAAGAGCTTCAGGTCCGCATTCTACCACATTTGTTCGAATATTCATAGAAAATACATTTGGATTTGCGTATAGTGTGTTGTAGTTTTTGGGAAAGTAGGTCCTTGAGTGTCCTCCTTGCTTCCAGCAGGGCTTTGTAGGTGTCGTCCGTTTGGGTAGCTTTATGCGTTCCCTCCAGTTCCTTAATTTTCTGAATCAAGCCCGTCATGCGTTCCCTCTGCTCTCTCTTTCTCTGCGTGCATACCTTGATGAGGTGTCCTCGGATAACACATTTGTGCACCTCCCAGGTCGTTAATGGTGGGGTTTCTGGTGTATTGTTTTCTTCGAAAAAGGTAGTAATCGCGGTGCGCAGGTCCGTTACTATAGGCAACTCCATCAGAACAGATTCATTCATTTTTCAATGGCGCTCTTTAGGTCTAAATAGGGGGGATTTGATGTGAGTAAATATGGGTGTGTGGTCTGACCAGCCCATCGTTTTTATGTCCACCGATATGAGTAGGGATAAGAATTCTTGGGCGAGGAGAATATAGTCCAGTCTACTGTACCGCTTGTGGACAGTGGAGAAATAAGAGTAGTATCTGTCTGTGGGGTGGAGCACCCTCCAACAGTCCATAAGGCCTGATCCCCTCAGTACTTCCTTGATATTGCGTGAACTATGGGTCGGCAGTGAGCAGTCCCCCTGAGGACGTGTCCAGTTGTGGTTCCAGGGCCACATTTAGATCACCGGCAACCTGGAGTAGGCCTCGGAACTGTTCGAGTTTATGCAGCATACTTCTCAAGAAGCGGTGTTGTCGTGTGTTGGGGGCATAAATGCATCCGAAGGTATACTTGGTGTCCGCTATCGAGCCTTTCAGGAACAGAAAGTGTCCCATGGAGTCCCTACAGATCTCCATACGAACGGGACCGTATTCGCGAATAGGATTGGGACCCCAGCTTTTTTGGCTGAGGGATGATTTGCGAAGTGCCCAACTGGTTACCTGGAGTCCCTGAGTGCCGGTCCAGCAGCCCCCCTAAAGTGCATCTCCTGCAAGAAAGCGACTGATGCCCATAGGGAGCGCAGGAGGTGAGATCTCCTTTCATGGGTATTCAAGCCCCTCACGTTGTGTGACCAGAGATGGAGCGGCGCAGGCAAGAACCCCAAGCCCACCATGGGGCAGCGAGGCTGAGGCCCCCTAGGGCCAACGGGGGGGGAGAGGAGTCCC